TGTGCGCTGGCATCTCCCAGGGTTGTAGTTGAAGGTGAGATCTAGTTATTGTAAGCAAAGCCAGGAGGCATGTGCTTTCTAAGCTTCTGAAAATCTGTCCTCAGTTTTCCTGGCAGGAAAGTGGGGTTTTGTTACTAACCTGGTCTTCATCTTAGGTAAAGTAATAAACCCCATGGAGCAGAGTCTACGCATATGACAGGAGTCAGCGATTCAAAGACTTCATTATTACTCTTATAATTCTCTTCCTCTGCTTCTAACTCCCCCGGGATGCATGCACACACACGCATAGGCATAGGCACACACACACACACACACACACACACACACACACACACACACACACACACACACCAAGCCTCTATTGTCTTTAATCTTCTCTTAGAAAGCATGAGAAGTTTTCATCAATCTTTTTTTAACCCCTTGACCAGCTAACTTGCTATGTAGCTGAAGATGACCTTTTTTCTGATCCTCCTGCCTCAACACCCCCATGTGGGGATTACAGGCACATGTCACTTTATCTGCCTTTATGCAGTGCTAGGAACTGAACCTAGGGGTTTGTACAGCCACCTTTTTTTTCCCTTTCTGTGGGCCTTTCGTCTTGCTGTAAGGCTTCTCCTCCCACTGAAAGAGAGAGGAAGCATTTGCCCCAGGGGCTCACTGAGGTGGAAGCTATAAGGAAACTGCATTTGAGTGTGCACCTGCCCTGATGCCCCCCACTCGCTCCCTCAGGGTCTCTGCTCTGCCTCCTGTTAGATCAGGCTTATTCCTTTCCCGCCAAATTCAGGCCTAGAAGACATCTTCTGGGTTCAAAAATGACTGCTTTTCCCACAGCCTTTTCTGGAATTAAGATCCCTCTCATGTTTGAATCACCATAATAAAAGCATGATTAGGAAGGCAATCGGATCTTGGAAACCCACAGTGGTTCCCCCCCCCCCCAGATGCCACAGAGATGATGAGTACTGTTGGCATTATTTGTTAAGTTGGTGGATGTTGAACTGAATGAATAACATTAAAATATGTGAATAATTAGATAAAAACAAAACTGTGACTCTGATGAGAGACCAAGATGTACTGGGGTGTCATGACGCGGACGGATCCGGGATGCCCGGACACGGCAGCCATCTTGAAGGTTTTTACAGGCCTTAGAAGAGCACTTATCTTTGCTACATTCCTAGAGAGAGAAGAGAGCGCTACTCCAATTTACTTAATCCTTGTTTCCCTTCTTTAGGAAGTCAAAACACTGACATCATTCTAAAACATCCCACAGGCCCCTAGGATCACCATTCCAAAGTCTAGGCCCTGACAATGTTTGTCCCAGTTTTGGGGAGGTAAGCTGTGTCATGCAAAGGGAGCTGGTGCTATTTTTAAATTGATTTAACACATCACTGAAACGTATCATACACATGTCACGCCCATGACACACACGCTGCATTATAATACAGCATGTGTCATACATACATTCTCGCTCACTCACACACATACTTGCTCTTCTTGTCCGGCCTTCTAAAAAAAAAAAAAAAAAAAAAGAAAAAGAAAAGAAAGAAAGAAAAAGAAAGGCAGCCAGAGAAGCCAAGCCCAGTGACTTGAGTTGAAAAGGCTGTTAAAGTTTAAAAGCCAAATGCCCCTCCAGTTCTCATCCTGGCTTTGAGACATGTGGGAGGGCTTCAAAGCCACAGTGCCCCTCTCTTAGGCTCAGGCTTACAGTTGGTCCCCAAATGTTTACCAGCATGAAGATGCCTAACTTACAGGAAGTGGGAAATGGGTGTGGGGGTTGAGGGTGGGTGGGTGAGCAGGGAGTGGGGAAGAGGGTGGGGGGGTGCTCTATTGATGTGGTTAGCCTGTCATTGACCTTGTTTGGGTATAGCAGGAGTTGAATTAGAAAATGAAAACTTGTTTCATCTTGAGCATATTTCATCCTTTTTTTTTTTTTTAACTTTCCTTAGGGAAAAAAAAATTTTTTTTAAAACCCAAATGGAGTCCGGTCTCCAGATTTGGTGCTCAATTCCCCTTCATGCTGCCATAGCTACAATAGTCCTTTTCCCCATACAGTCATCTGGCCGCCTACATAGTGACTCCCAACCCACCCAAGGACTAGAGGGGGCGGGGAACCTGGCCCAGGAGCTGAAACTGAATGAATGTTGGCTTGTGATGATGCGTCAAAAGAAAAGGACCGGGATTTCTGAGAACGGAGCTTTGGCATTGTCTTCGATGAGCTACCATTTTCACACACGCTTAATGAGTAAACTCTGCCTGAAAAAAAAGCTGATTAATAAAGACAACTGCTGAGGCGTTTGGGTGTTCTAACGCCGGAGAAGATGATACAGCGAGTGCCTGAAGATGTACCCAGGGATTGTTTAGAGCGAACATCTTGCCACTTGAGACTGCGGAGCGTGGCAGCCCCCGTTCTCTCTGTAGTGTGCCTGCTGGCGTCGCCCAGCCTGACTCTGCAATCTGGACCTCACTGCTCTCGCATCCGGGAGGGCCGAGTGACGCCCACCATCAGCCCCTTCCTCACCTGCCCAGCCGTTCTGCCCTGGACAACACCTAATACTGTAATGCGAACGTGACGCTTCTGAAGAGGGGTCTTGTCTTCTTCCCTGTATCCACTCTCCTTTTTTGCGCCCTTCATTTTAAGTTCTAGCATTATCTGCCCTTAACCCCGTAATCATCATCAAAAATTGGCCTGGAGCTGTTGGTTTTGTTTTTGGTTTGTCCTCATCTCTTTGAAACAAGAAGCAAACACTTCAAGGACATTATATTCCAATATCCCGAAATCTGCTTTCCTGATAGTTCCACCTATGGCTTTGTCCAGCTCAGCTGAAACACCTGGAACTAATTTTAGGGTTGCCTGGCTAAGCCTCACACTGGTATTTGATGTTTGCGTCCTCCCCAGACTCAAGCCCGTTTCACCACCTCAGAAGGTGAGTGCGGGCTGATATTAATTAACCGTGAGCTGATTCACTGGCATCTTCCCGTCATTAAAGCAGGTATTTGGCCTAAAATAGCCCCTTCCCACCCTGACTGCCACCCTTTGCCTGTTCCTTTACACCACAGTGTAGAGTGGAGTCACGGACACTTGCACGGTGTCTGTGGCCCAGGAGCAGAGTCTATCCTGAAAGGGAAGTGAAAAAAAACGTGTTACCTGATCTGCAGTGGAGACAGCCAGCAGCAGGCCAGCCCTCGGGATGACTACTTTGTTTTTCTGTCCATCGTGGTGCTGACTCAGCATCAGTTAATAAACCCTCTGCAGAAGGCTGGATTTCTTTTGTTTAATTATCACTTGGACCTTTCTGAGAACTCTTAAGAATTCGTTCATTCAGTTTTATCCCCTGGCACAAGAGTATCTAACAGCTTGTTTCCTCTTGGTGCTAGCGCCCCCTCTGGCATAACATGCAATGACAGGTGGACCTATAGCCCCAGGGAGTGTTGCTACCCTCGTCCCCTAGTAGGAATTTGATTGTTTTGAAGTACACAGATTGTAGAAGGATTTTTAGATGCACATACCATTTTCAGTGAGATAATCTTCTACCTCACCCCACCCCATTTCTTAAAAAAATTCTGGGAAAGTTTCTTGAAAGAAAACTTAAAGATAAACAGGCCTGTCTTTATGATTGAGCTGGGTTTTTGTTTTGCTGTGTTTCATTTCTTCCTGTAAACAAATACTCAAATGTCCACTTCATTGTATGACTAAGTTGGTATCATTAGGTTGGGTCTGGGTGTGTGAATGTGGGTGTGGATGTGGAAGTGGGTGGGTGTGGATGTCTCGTGTGTTTAAAATACTAGAAAAGACACCACAGACTAAGGTTGAAAGAGAGCTGATTTTTAAAAACAAAACAAAAACCTGTGATGAGGCAAGCAGGAAAAGTGGAGGACTTGAATTTCTGTGATCTAAACAGTCATGGTGATGGGGCGCTGGCTATAAATGGGCCTTTGCATCATTGTTTCTCTGAATTAGAGGATTCCTTGCTGAAGGCACAAGACCATGGAAGGAAGTAAAGCATCTGGTTTGTTTTGTAATGAGAAGCAGGAATGCAAGGTCCACGCTCTTAATAATAAACAAACAGGACATTGTATGCCATCATCGCAGGATGTCCTTCCTTCTGGAGGACTGGCTGGGGCTGAAGGAAAAGCCACCCAGGCTCAGAGCAAGCCCCACTAATTACTGCCTCCAACAGCTTTCCACTCACGGTGATCAGTTCAATACCCCCTTTTTAACTGAGGCCATTCTTACTCTCCATTGTACGTGCTCAGAAGCCTGGCTGCGGGTTTGGGCCTGAGGGGTGGGAACAACAAAACTAGTATATATGATCATAACTTTTTCCTGTTTCCCTATTTCCAAATGGTTGAAAGAAGGAAGTTAAGTCTACCCAAGCTGAATGTATTCAGTTAGCAGGAAAAATGAAATCCTGCGTGTTTAGATAGTAGAGGAGAAACGCCTCAGAATACTTATTTCCCTGGCAGTGACTCCAGGGCTACACAGCGTCCTCGTGTTGCGTGTGATGCCGAAATACTTTTTCTCCTTCCGAGTAAGTCGGATCCTGTAACTGAGACACCAAGTTTAGGTGACTTGGGTTTTCTTCCCCGGAGTAGTCCCCCCCAGCCCGCCCCATTCTGCCGCGACAGGAAGCAGGAGATCTGGAGTCCTTAGAATACAATCGCAGAGTGAGTAAGCGCGGAGGGCTAGCGCCAGCACAGGGAATTAGGAAGATTCCCAGTCCTGGAGTACTTAGAATACAATCGCAATCGCGGCGTGAGTAAACGTGGAGGGCGAGCGCCCGCAAAGGGAAGTAAGAAGATTCCCAGTCCGTGTTGAAATTCACTTGCAAAGAGAGGAAGCTGCCGTGGCTCGCAGTCGGGGTGGGGGTGGGGGGGGTGGAGGGGAGCCCTGAACCCCGCGCCGCACGGCTGGGCCGTCCAGGTGCGGCCACGCCCCCATCCCGGCGGCTGGTAGGAGTGAATCAGACCCGTCAGTGGGTAGAGAAGTCTGCGGCAGGCAGGCAGGCAGGGAGGGGGAAGAGCCGTCGCTCGCGAGCACAGACAGTGCTGCCGTGACACTCGGCCCTCCAGTGTCGCCGAGACGCAAGAGCAGCGCGCAGCACCTGTCCGCCCGGAGCTAGCCCGGCGCGCGGCCGTAGAAAAGGAGGGACCGCCGAGGTGCGCGTCAGTGCTGCTCAGCCCGGCCGGCCGGGACGCGGGAGGATGTGGACTGGGTGGACATGAGCAAGCCTTATCTCAGATGTTGGATCTTCTCTTGGAAAAACGTGTGGGTACGACCTTGGTAAGGAACTAGATTCTCTTTTTAATCTGATCGGGAAACTTTATTCTTCTCTCTCTCTCTTTTTTTTCTTTTTTTATTTTTATTTATTTATTTATTTATTTTTAAAGAATGCAGTTGCAGTAGAAACCAACGCTTCTGCTTTAGTCCGCGGAGCACTGTCAAACATTTAAAAAGACTTTTTCCGTATGAATCATTAACCCTTTCAGTTCTAGATATAATTGTCAATTCACTGAAATTTCAGTAGTGGTTCTAGTCGGCTTCCCCGCTTCCCCACCCGCTGCCAGCAAAAGCCACTATCCCGGGTTGGCTTACGTTTTCAATTTTATTAACTTTAACATGGTTTGTTCAACATGACCTTACGTGTTGGAACTAAATGAAGAGTTTAAGTTGTAACTGGGGCAAAGACATCCAAACATCACCCTCTCACCCCCATCCCAGGAGCATGATATTTAGGGAAGATGTGGGGAAACGTGAAAAACACCTCGAGCGACTCTCTCAGTGTTTACATTTTCCTAGCGCATGTTCTTACATGGATATCCTTACTCCTAATTTTAATCTGTCGCATCTATGTGGGAATGCGTTGGAGGGGCTGTTCATCCTTTTGTTTTGTTTTGTTTTTTTCCTCTTTGGGAAGCAGTTTTTCCGAGGGAGCGCCGATTCCAGGAGGATCCCGGAGTCTTCTGTAGAACTTAGTTACAGTAAAGCTGTGCCACTTCGGTGACTTCTGGGAATTCATGCACTTTCACATTTAAATGGAAAGTGCTATTTGTGGCTGAGAGCTCCTAAAGGAATTCTCTTCAGGGAATTCTATTGAATATTTTTATGTTTTGTTTTTTATTTTTCCTATCTGGCTCGAGATGTCCTCCGATCCAAAAAGGCTGCAGGGTGTTTCCCCCTTCACCCATTTCTCTTTTCCTGTGGTCCATGGGAGCTCGGGAAGGCTGGTGCTCAGGGATGCTGGCAGGATGCACTTTCGGGCTTCCCTGCTAGAGGATGAAAGAGGCGAGCGCGCCAGAGGGAGGGTGACAACCCAGTTGTTTTGAAAGTTGTTCCGCATAGGGAGCTGGTGGGAAAGTTCAGTCTTCCCCATTTGGAAAAGGCAGGCTAGGTTCCGCTCCTGCACCACACGCGCTTTCCATTTTTAGCTTCATTCAGAGGCAGACAGCGCTCCTTCCTCTTCCTCTCCTTGTTTGTGACACTTCTCTGAGGCAGCTTTTCCACAGCGCTGAGGGTCCGGCGGCCATGACCCCAGGCGTCCCGGGACACAGGACGCAGCAGCGTCCACAACCTATTTCTGCCTTCAGAGGTAAAGCCAAGAATTGTTCAAAGGTAGCTGTTCTTTTTCTCCTGATAAATTGCCATATATATGTTGCCATATATATATATATATATATAATATATATATATATATATTATATATATATATATATGTTTTTGTTTTGGTTTTTCAGCCAAGGGTTGCATTTTAAAATCGTGCTTCTTCAAGGCAGTCTGCTTTATACGGCTTTGGACTCTTACTCAACTGTACAAGTACTCCATCAGCTCTTAAAGTCTTCAGACTACTGTGTTAGTCATAGCCTCTCAGAGGGAGCCACAGGAACGTCGGACAATGGGGATTACAGGCCTTTCCCTTCTCTTCCAGGCTGCCCCTAAGTGTAGCTCCAGCTCCGTGAAGTTTCAAGGTTTAGCAGAGAGGACTGAGATCATGAAAATGGACATGGAGGACGCTGATATGACTCTATGGACAGAGGCTGAGTTTGAAGAGAAGTGTACCTACATAGTGAACGACCACCCCTGGGATTCCGGCGCCGACGGGGGTACTTCTCTTCAAGCAGAGGCATCCTTACCAAGGAACCTGCTTTTCAAGTATGCCACCACCAACAGCAAAGAGGTAAGCCTCTGCCTCAGTGAAGACTGACTGGCCCTTGGGCAGCTCTCCCACTATCTCTGAGAACCATGAGGATTTATACGCATTGACAAATAATTGATCACTCTAGTCACGGTTTTCATTGCTTTCTCTCCAAGCCAATTCCTATTCATTTCCTCCTACCGTCAGCTGTTCTATACTAATTAGTAAACAGTTAAATCTTTTGGCAAACTGACATGTCTTGGAAGAGCTGACTTGCAGCTCGGGTGGGCAGCATTCTGAGGCAGCTGCAGCTCTGCTCTCCACACTGGCCCTGTTGTACAAAGCTTTAAAGAAGGAGTTTTCTGGGGGGAAAAATGTTTTCTTTTGTCTCCTTTTGCTCGTGAGATGGCTTTATTCTTTTTAACGAGCCAGCTTTATTAGCTGGGTTTCTAAAATTATTCTCAAAACCTTGACATGTTTATTAACTGAAGTGATGGCATTAACCGGGAGGACGAGGGTCACGTAAAAGTGTCCTCTGTCAGGATGACTTCACTAACCACTGTTTACCTGCGGCAGCTTCTTCACCTTGGCCAGGCTGGCAGGCCCACTCCTTAGGGCTTCTGAAGTGGGTACGCTCTTTGTTGTTTCAAAGGGACAGGCAACTGAGGAGCACCTGAGTTGTGTTTACCAGTTTATATAACAATTAAAGCCGGCACGATGTGTGGCTTGGAAATGATTTGAGAGCCACCTCTTGTTCTGAGAGTCAGCTACTGCAGTTGCTGTCCTCTGATGGGCTAAGTGGCCGAGGACAGCCTCCAGCAGACTTCCCACCATCACAGCCCTCACCCACAGTGCTGTGGTTCTGGTACTTACTGTCTTGGGGAGCAGTGAAAAGGAGATCATCCTGAGTTGTAAAAATCCCAGATTTGCTCCTGGAAGTATTCATGATGGCCATGTTAAGTCACTTTCCTCCTTCAGCATGTGAAAGAATCCGGGAGTCGGGAAACACTTTGTCTCTTTCCTGTTTGTGTGTCTGAGTTCAATGTTTTTGGGAAGGAGGAAGGGGGAGAGAGAGATCCAAACTTAAAGAGAGGAATTCTGCTTTGAGTTTCACTAAAGCCCCGCTCCTGTCTTTTGTTTCTGATGGGAGACTAGTGCTAGATTTTATTAAAAGCAAAATTTAAATTGTAATTTGTGTATAAATATTACAAAAAAAAGTGTAACCCCAGAGGTCAGCCTTAATTATACCTCTTCCTGAAAGCGATGTTCTCAGTAGAAAGCCTCTGAGCTGTAGCTCTTGGAGTCAATGTAGCATTTGTTTGAGGCCTGGCTGAGGCTTTAAAAGGTGTAGTGTGTTTTTTTCCACATCAAATTTGACTAAATATTTGTCCCCTCAAAAGGGTCATTCATGTCCTGCTGTCTCTGCAGCCTGTTGGGATAGAAATGAAGACCCCTATTTTGTGGGTCCTCTGCTTTTGTTAGCCTACAATGTCCTTCTCAGTTCAGCTCTTTTAAGTTTTTCAATTTTTGTCATTCTACTGGAAATCATGGCTGAGTGGAGTTATGCTATTAGATCATTTAGTTCAAGGTTCAGAGAGCGATAGTCAACTTCCCCAAAGGCTATGTAACGACAGCCAGGCTCAGACTGGGAGCAAAGTTCTCTGATTGCTCCAGGTGTTTCTAGACCATGCTACCCTGGTCCCTCTTGGTGTCACTGTGGTTTTATTTATCATCTTGACTTAGTTCAGAGCCGTCTTTTTACTAAGCCTGTTCCCTTTTTTTCTGCTGAATCCCTCCCTCTCTCTGCAAAGTAAAGCAACCAGAAAGAGACAGTACTTGTTTCCTGAAGGGGAGTCCTTCATAGCACGTAGGAAGTTGGGATTCTGTTATCCTTCTTCCCGGTATTTTACTTAAATGAAACAGTTGAATAGGGGGTAGTACCTCTTCAGTCCTCAGTCACAAAAGCAGCCAGGAAACAACTTAAATATCATCCTGTCCTAAGCTTACACCAAAATGTATGCCTGTTTCTCTCTCTCTCTCTCTCTCTCTCTCTCTCTCTCTCTCTCTCTCTCTCTCTCTTTCTCTCTCTCTCTCCCTCTGTCTCTGTCTCTGTCTCTGTCTCTCCCCACCCCATTTTGAACTTTGGCACAGCTCCTTAAGGGTGGTGAAAGAGAATGGCAGAATTGAGCCATTGAGAGTGTGATAGATGCAAACCAGTTCCAGGACAGAAATGTCTAGAATTGCTGAAATGTTTACATACATTATCGTTGTTTCATTGTTCAGTTAGTTCTCTGAGTCCCATGAGTCGTGGAAACAGGGAAAAGGCCTTTCTACATGTAGGTTTTATCTGACTGATTTATCTCACTCATCTTTAAATGTTTTCATTAAAATAGCAAAAGCTGTTACTTTATGTACTGTGTGCTGACATCCTGGGGAATTTTTTTTAACAAGATCATTTTTCATTATGAATTTGTGCTATGTGTCAGCACCTTCTCACCCCCCCCCACCCCCTTGGTTTAAAAACAAAACATACAAACTGTATTTCTGGTCTCAACATTAATTTTTAGATCTGGCTCAGAATCATTCTGCACTTTTATTGAGGCTGTTCTTACTTCCTATTTCCAGATCTAAAACTAAATACAGACATGCTATTTAAAACTTTTAGAACGTTTAACCTGGTGGGTTATTCTTTTGTGGGGAGTTTCCCCTTGGCCTCCTGAGATAATCTGTGAATATTTGACTACAGAAAAATCATTGAAGGTTTAGAAGCAGTGTCCAGGACAGATTTCTGCTGTCAGTTGAGGTGGCTTTGTCCTCAAGAGGCACTTGGCTCCTCTGAGACTCTGATCTGCAGTTGAGTGATGACAAACGTCAGGCAGAGCGTAGGGACTTGGTGTCCATTCCAATTGAGTACATTATTAAGTTGAGCCATCTGTAAAGGATTTCACCATAACATGCAATTCCACCGACAAACTCTTTTATTTTGTAGTGTATGGCAAGGCACTACCATATTTCCTTTAATATAAAGATAACGAAGTTGGAAACCTTTCAAAACACCTGTTCATTCCTTTGAACAATGGAGTGAAATACAGACTGGCATCTTGGTCTACACCCTTACAGTTAAAAATATATGGGGAAAATCCCTAATTTGATGAGGTTCAGAGAGGAGAAAGATAACAAGTAATTAAAGTATTCTTAATTTGAAGTGTGGAAGCTCAGACCACATTCAGAACTGAAGAGTCTCTTTCAAATCCCTGTGCTTTCTTGTGTGTGTATATTGCACGCTCTCTAAAGGGTGGCCTACGTTATCCTTATTATCAGACTTTCATTCCATATTCTCATTCATTCCATCCTGAACTGTTTTTAAAATAATCTTTATTTTGTAAAGTTGAAAAGAAGGCCTGGCTTTTGTCTTAAAGTTCGACAGTTTGCACTCTGCAGCCAAAGCACTGACAGAGACAGATGTGCCCAGGTGGCAGAGGGGTCAGCTCAGCACATGAAGCAAGCTGGAAGGGCTTCCGTGGGGCAGAGGAAGCATGGGCAGCCTTTGGAAGCCTCTTTCTCTTACTGATGGGTTTATAGAAAGTACAAAGCTGCCAGTCCCCAGCAGTAATTCTTTAGGACCCTGGTCAGTTCCAGTGACGTTTCCTTCCTCAGTTAGGTGAGCACATTCTTAATTAGTATTTTTAGCACCGTGCAACTCAAAGCACAGGCCAGGTTTCTCTGTACCATTTGCTTGTTCCTAGGATAGAACACTGTAAACAATGGGTTAGGGAGGTGGGGTTGGGCTATGATACTCATCTGGGTTTTTGGGGACCAGAGACCTCTACCTTGGTTTCTACTTTCCATTAAGAGCAACTCTGGCTCCCATCCCCATGTTAGAATTGCAGTTTTTGTGTCTTCTTTGACTAATAAAGCAGACATGGATTTGACACAGAGGTGTTTATTGTGTATTATGATTAGTAAGCTCAACTTGGAGTGGATGCAGATGGTTTAGCTGATGTTGTTTTCTGAGATCAAATCTTGAGATGTCTGTAGTCTGAACGCAGGCCACAAGCTGGTGATCTTTCTGACTCCTGTGTACTATGATTAAGCATACACCCCCACTAGTGATAGATAGGTGACTTAGAAGCAACAGGATTCCTCTAATCTCAGAATGCTGAACTGTGTTTCTTCATCTGTCAGTGCTCATCTGTATTCCTCAGCTCTGCATATAGTAGGAATTCTGATTATTAAGGTTCTATTTTATTCATAAAAATCATCTAATATTGAAGTTCAGTCTGGGTGTATTTCCCAGACAGACCTTGAACCTCAGCCTCCAGAGTAGTTGGGATATGAAGCCACACGGGTACTTTATTTCTTTAAAAGGCTGCTTGGTTTTTCCTTGTTCTTGTGTCTTGTCTGTCCATTTGCATGTGTGAGGTTACAGATGTTAGGTGCTTCCAATACTGATTTAAACTTCTACAGTGCTGAGTCCATACCTGTGCTTGAAAGACACTAGACAGGTTATGCCTTCCCCACATTCTTTTGTTGTAGGAACAAGATTCTAATTAACTTCCTTTTGGCCACAGGAAAATGTATTTTCTTAGGGTAAGATTGATAGGTGAAAACCAAGAGGCCATTCTGTAGAAAGAAGAATAGCAATTTGGAAGGGAAACTGTGACCTCAATGTAATGCTCCTTGTTGGTAAGCAAGCTCTGACTCTGAAGACACTGTCTGCAGGAGGCTATAATTTAAAGCAAAGTTGATGAACCAGTCTAGTGCCTTTCTTAAAATTACTGCTTTAAAGTGGATATGTTGAAATTATCAGCTGCTAATTATTGGCTCACTGACAAATGGCATTATTTGTTTTTCCTGTTTGGCATTTTAATATTATGGAATAAGCATTCAAATGTAAATGCCTAATAACGTGTGTATTATAGAAGACAATTCCATGAGTTTTACAAAGTAGGTTCAATAATTTGTCCTAAACGAGCCCGTGACCAGGGAAGGCTAGCCAGGCTTTCTGGGTATATTTTTATCTCCAGAGCCTCTGCTCTGAGATGCTCCTGCCTCCCCAAAGCTGGGCTGTAACCGACAGAAGCAGTGATGAAGCTTTCTTGGAAGCATAGACAGATGTAATGAGGGCAGAGGGCATGAACATCTGCCTTTTTCAGACCTTTGCCACAAATTCATATAGGACCAAAAATAACACCTTTAACTCACTGACTTTGTTTCGAGTTGCATTGAGTAGAGCAAATTTTCTCCTCCTCCACCCCTTTCCTGTCTTAAGAATGCACCGTTAACTATATATTGAATATTAAATTGTTTAAGAATAAAGGGCATTTGATGATTTAAAAAAAAAACTAACACGAGAAAGAGTGGCCTGTGCAAGCTATGCAAGTTTGCTTATTTCATATTAGACAGAGGTTACATTTTTGATGGATTGAATGAGGTTACCAATGTGTATTATAACCAAAGTCCTGGATTCCACTGCAAGCGGTCTGAACAGTCATTAATTCACTTACCTGCACCTGCCATTTTAGGTATGTAATTATACAAGAGCCACCAAGAAAAATAAAAGTAGAAATTAATATTATGTTTTACACTGCCCTTGGTCACTTCAGGAAGACATTCCTTACTGTTTTGAACCAGAACAAATATTAAAATGAGAAAGCAAATCTCTACTGTGAAAGGTGAACTCTGAGTAGTTCTCAGAGTTCGTTTGAATTGCTTCCTGGTTTGTGTCTGATTTTTTTAGTACCCTAAAAAGAAAGTTATGATCAAGGAAGAACCGCCATACTTACCATGTCTCTTTAGTAAACCCCACAGAGTCGTGATGCACCAGGGCTTCAGTCTGAAAAGGTCATTTCCTCAGATCTTAGAAGCCACATCTTTTAGAACCCACAGTCTCCTCATTACACATTCCATTTCAAAGAGGGACTTCTGACCACCATTGAGTAGATGTTAGAGAAGAACAAAGTTACTTGAAAGATCTTTCTTCTAGTAAAGAACCCTTACAAGCTATGAGGGAAAGACGAGGGGGGAGGAAAAACCTCATCTGGAATGAAAAAAAAAAAAACTTAATGTGTTTGGTTTCTGGTTCCTTCGGCCTCTGTGGAACAACTAAAGAGCATTATTTTGGTTTCTGAGGTTAAAACTCTTTTATTCCCCTCAAGCACACTATGTTTATGGTTTGAGGGAGAAGGAGGGAGCTAGGAAATGAAGGGTCGAATCTGGACGTCTCCCTATGCCGCTCATTCTCTTAGAACAGAATGCTGATCTCCTGGTGTTCTAGCATGAAAAACAATAAAGTCAAGAGCCCCAGACACCAGAAAACGGTCCCCTGAACTATCTCAGTGCCAGGCAGCCTCCGTAATGAAGCTTACTGTTAACATCATCATTGATGTCTTGATAGGTTATTAATGGACAATTCGATTCACTAAAGTAACAAGATTGACATCTTGAAGTCTGTGTAATGAGTTCATGTTTTACTCTGTAGGTCATTGGCGTGGTGAGTAAGGAGTACATACCACAGGGAACGAGGTTTGGACCCCTGATAGGTGAAATCTATACCAATGACACGGTTCCCAAGAACGCCAACAGGAAATATTTTTGGCGGGTAAGTAACATTTTTAAGACTTTTCAATATTTGGGGTAGAGGGAGCTTAAGGAACAGGGCCACTTCCTTTTCAGCCTGTGATGGGAAACAATGCCAAGGAAGCATTGGAATTCCAAGTAAGTTCGATAAAACTGGTTAAACGTTCTGGAAACACTGCTGTAGGTGGTGAGATAGGGACTCCATGTGAATCTTGATTTCTGCAACTCACTGCATCCAGCTTTGTGATGAAAGGAAACAGTTTGCTGCTTGCTTCAAGGGCAGGTTCATTTGCATTCCCTTCGAGGAAGTAGTAATGAGTCACCAAGCCTTCGATTTCACCCTCTCTTGATTTCTTGCTGAGTTCACTTCAGTTGAATGGAAGAGTTATCATAAATGAATTATCTTGAAGAGAAATGTCACTAAAAAAGGATAGGTAAAAGGTGGGTTAGTGGGGCAGAGGATGACCACAGAAGTCATTTTATTTAAATCTCTCAGCACTGTAAAACACTTGACAGCACCCTAAGTTGCTAAGCATAAGGAAAATCCGGACATGCATGTGACATGAGAGACTTGGCTAGTACAGCTATTTCAAAGGTCTGACTGATGCAGTCTCTTGGGATGTCAGGGTTTGCAAGGACTCTGGGGTGACCTAAGAGAAGGGATTCATGGGTAAAATCTAAATTGGGAGTGGATAAAGGAAAAGTCAGCCTCCCTTCCCCCAAGATGTCTCCGGCGTGCTCAGGTTACAAATGAAGAACTATTTATATAAATTTAGTGGGCACTTTTCCTCATACAGACATTAAGTACACATCACCTGAAGATATGGTAATAACCAAGACTGGATCATGGGTAACCTGGCTGATATTTTTGCATAAGTAATTTATCAAGACTTTGGTTAGGAAATTACTTGTGAAGTTATTCCTGAGAGATTCCTCTACATCTAGGACATTTTATTTCCAGACACTTACTTGCTAACTTCGACAACTGTAGTTGTGGATTTGTTAAGAATCATTTGTTCTCAATTTTTTGCTTATTTAATAATTATTTAGTGTTAAAATATATTACTATATGACTGACAATGTGAAAATAAGAGTGCATTTTTACCTTTATTGCCATTCTCAGATGGGAGCCATAGATTAATCTTGGCCTCAAATGGTCTGAACTAAGACAATCTGACATGTTCATTAATACATTGTCATTTTGAAAATAGTCAAGAAACACCTAAGAATCTCCCATTCCTATCCCAGTCCTGTTTCATTAAAAGATTTACAAAATAATAATAATAATTAATAATAATGAACAGAAAGGCTTTCCTTTCACATGCAACAAAGACTGTAGGGAAGAAAACTTCTCCCATGTTGGAAAAGCCTGATTTGTAAGGCAGGAATATGAACATCTGTTGTGAGGAATGAAAGGGTTTCATGCAAATTACAGTCAAAGAGATGCTCAAGTTGAGAAACCAGTGACATTTCTTGTAACTGTACTATGAGTCAGCACGTGTTTAATCTTCTTGATAATAGATGGAAAGGCAGGCATCCGTGTGCGTTTTACAAATGCATGGTTTTATTTTCTTGGGGTGTGTGTGTGACTTCATGGCATCCACGGGTCTGTTTTTAAATGAGGATACAGTAAGTTGTAGTCGTGGAAAGCCGGCTGGGATCAACACATCTGCAACAGTTTCCGCCCCAGTGCAAGAGCGCTGGAACCCCATGTTCCTGGAAGTTTGCGCGTCAGAGTAAACAAACTTGAAAACCCCTCTTGATAGCTGAATTCACCCAGTCTTGTTACATTTTCTCTTAACAAGACACACCGCGGAAGCTCTCACAGGCTGCTTTGATGAAGCCACATACATCCCCCTCACAATTCACAGGAAGTCACTCTTAAAAGAAACTGATTCTGCTGTTTGCTGCCTGTATTAAAGGGACAGAGTTCCTTTTTATTTCTGATAACGCTGGAGAGAAATACAGAAACGCTCACACAGCCAGTGTGTGACTAAGAATAAAGCAATAGCCTTCTGCCCGATAGAGCTCTCTGGGGTGAGCAAGCACAGCACCTCTTGGAGACTCGGTTTGCAGATGACCAGGTATTGACTGTCCTGTGTGTAAAGAAAGCTCTGGGGTCTGAAGGAAGGTGGTGCCTCTTCAAGGAAAGGAACTTTCTGGAGAAGATAAGGAGTGAGTTTATTACCCCTTGGTTTCAGTAAGAGTGTTTTTTTTTTTTTTTTCTCTCCCTGTTCTTAACTATGCCTTTTTACTTAGCCAGAGGTAGCGTTGCTAGAGGACAAACTCTGTTCATTACAGGAACCATATATTTTTCTTCCTCTTCTTTTTCAAAAATCCCCAAAGCGTGATTCTGTGTGTGCTGTTGCAGCCATCCTCACAGACACCGGGGAATGTCTACTCCTTTGGCATGAGAGAGAGGCACAAGGCTGCACACGTTTTACCAAGAGGAAAAGTGACTTCTCGGTAGACTGCCAAACTGGCCTCTGTGCCAGTGGCTCGCTTTGTTATGGCAGGTGAAGTTCACCTTTGCCCCACCCAGTGTTTCCACAAAAAGGCAGGGTTCCAAGTATTCATCTGAACAAGTGTTACTGTGGGACTCAGGGTTGGGGGTGGAGGATGTTTGCAGAGTCTGAGCCCCGGGCGGAGGTGTAGGAAACACACGTACAGAGGCCATAGAAAAAAGCTGAGACTCGGTTTGACGCAGTCCTCAGCTTGCTGCTCTGCCCAGTGACTCAAAGCACTAAAAGTCAGCATAGTTGGAAGTGTGCTGAGCAGTCGCTGCTCGCTGTTCGCTACTGTAGCCAGAGTTCCCGGGGGCAGTTTCATCCGCTCCAGGCTGCTCTTTAGATGAGGTTTTGTGTTTTATTCCTTTGCTATCCGCCCCACCACCACACACATGAAAAGACCATACAATTGAAATGGAAAAGGTAACTGAGAAAATGTACCTTACCTCATTTCTGCTGATTCAAGATGATTCCCACCAGACCAGAGATCCGACTCTTTCTCTAACTAGGCAGTGAGGGCTGGAATCCCACGTGCTGCCTTGCTTGCCTGTGTTTATTCTGAGAGATTTGGGGAAGCTTTCCCTGGCTTGGGGCTAGCTGCTTTTCAACACTGCATCTTTCCTCTCTTTTGGACAGATCTATTCCAGAGAGGAATTCCACCACTTCATCGATGGCTTTAATGAGGAGAAAAGTAACTGGATGCGCTACGTGAATCCAGCTCACTCTGCCCGGGAGCAAAACCTGGCTGCCTGTCAGAACGGGATGAACATCTACTTCTACACCATTAAACCCATCCCTGCCAACCAGGAACTTCTTGTGTGGTATTGTCGGGACTTTGCAGAGCGCCTTCACTATCCTTATCCTGGAGAGCTCACAGTGATGAATCTCAGTAAGTGGATTACAGAACAAAAAATAAATAAAAAATGCCAGTCATGTCAGTTCTGCCCCTATGAGCTAATAACATGTTGTTTAATTATAGGGCTTCATCACCTGTTGGACTAAGTAGGTGGCTTTAGCTAAGACTAGGAAGAGGAAAACATTTTTAATATCCCTATTCCTTATTATGAAACTTATTCATCAAATATTTATTATATGTGATATATATATATATATATATATATATATATATATATATAATGATCTACTCTGAATGTTGATTTCAGTAAGTTACAGGAAGAAATACATTTCCAATTCTAATTGATGCAAAGGGGGCGATTGGAGGCATAATGCAGACTGGTATGGACATGTTGAGCATGCCGGCTGCAGTCCCTTATTGCCGTAATGTGTCAGGGCTTAGTGTGTTCATTGAAATCTTGGAAAGACACCTGTGGATAAAGCCATGAGCTAATGTGGAAGGCTGTTTCTAGAAAACCTGTCATAATTGTTCAAGTAGTCTAAGTGAATAACCCTAAAAGATTTCATATCTTAGCTTCCTTCCTTATGGTAAAGTGAATTAATCTCATCTTTTAATCAGTCTTACGGTAACCACCTATCGCTTTATCTTGACAAATTCTTGGTTCCTTAGGTTTACAAGCTTTTACTTTTTTTTTTTTTTTAAGTTTGGCTAAAATTGCTGTCATGACCTCTACAAAGCATTCCTCTAGTTCAGTCAGTAGGTTTAAGAAGAATTTAAGAATAAAAAATTCTAACTTCTATTATAACTCTGGTTATATGTTCTGGGTTATAGCACTTTTTAAATGACCACCTTTTGATTAAAATGAAATGTTGAAGGTTTAAAAGTTTTGGTTTTGTTTGTTTGGGGGGTTTTGTTTTGGATTTAATTTTTGGTTTTCTGAGACAGAATTTCTTTGTGTAACTCTGGCTGTTCTAGAACTAACTGTGTAGACCAGGCTGGCTTCAAACTCAGAGATCTGCCTGCCTCTGCCTCCCAAGTGCTGAGATTAAAGGCAGGCACCACCACCTCCCAGCAAAAGTTTTCATTTTGATACTATTTCAACCTTGAGGAAACGTTTCCAGAAAACTACAGAGAATTCCAATGTGTTGTTTACCCAGTTTTTACTATGCTGTCTCCTTTGCTTTCCCTGGAGACTAAATATAGTCCACATTTTACCATTGAGACATTGGGAATAAATATTAATTTTAGTAGTTTAACTTTAAGACCAATGACTTAATGCTAGCATACTCCGTCTAGCTTTCCATGTTTGTTCTACAATGTTCAGGCTGTCAGGAATTTTCAGTTTTCTGAAAAATCACAGCTTCAGCAGCTTTCCTGTAGGATCACATTATAGGTTCTGTGCCCAGGGCCGTTAACACAGCATAGTGTGCCCTTGAGCTGAACATGGTAGGTACCATCCATTCCAGCCAAAGGGAGTGGTCCCTCTCCTCCTATGTTTGAATTTTGTTTTTTATTACTGTTGTTTTGTTTTTGTTTTGACAGGGCCTCATTCAGCTTAGGCTCACTTAAACTTGATAGGCAGCCAAGGATGCCCTTCAACTTCTGACCTCACCCACATACCTGAAACACAAGGGTTACAAGCATGTGCCCACCATGGCTGGCTCAAGCATTGATTTTGTGTGTGTGTGTGTGTGTGTGTGTGTGTGTGTGTGTGTGTGTGTGTGTGTGTGTTCAGAGGTAATTGTGATGTATACTGTGAAATGGCACACCCTTTGTCTGATATTCCTGCTAAAGGAAGAGTTAACAATGCAGTCGCACTACAAGGCTCCTGCCACTGATTGTGAAACCTGTTGGCTCAGGTGTGGCAACTGATGATTGAGACAGTGATCAGGAAAATTTCCACCATTTCATCAGGCAGGCCTAATAGGTAGAGTGTGTGTCCACGATGAGTTGTTCTGGATTTCCATGCTTAAAGCGTAATGGAGGTCTGTCCAGAACGTCCCTAGGGACTGACATGCAGAGAAAGACTAGGGATGGGATGAAGGAGGCTAGGCGGCCAGAAATCATAAACTGGTAAGAAAGGAAAGGGAGGGAAGCAGGTAAAGAGGACTATTCAATTTAGCTCCTAACCCTCCCAATCTTTTTGGTAACTTTTTTCTATCTATCTAACTAACCCATCTAGAAATCAGTTGACCAAATTATAGACTTCTGAATGTTAACCTGCTTTCTCGGTTTCAGTTGAAAACAGACTTTGTTTTGCCTACTGCAGAACTTCTAGGTTCTTTCTTGGCGTCTTGGGGGTGCTTATTATAGATCGAAAATGTGAGTCGGCATAATTAAGCCATTCAGAACCTCAGAGGCAGCTCACTCTTGAAATGACTCTGTCCGCCTACAGCCATTTGAGATTTAAGAACAAAAACAGATCTTGATTTTCTTTTTCATGTTAACTCAAGCTGCTAAGTGGGAGAGTTAGAAATGATACCAGCTCCTCTGATTACTCAGCTGCTGAAGGATGAGTTTTTAAAAATGTACCTTCATACATAGTCTATAATTTCCAGCTGTAAAGTATTTTAGAAACACTGACATTTTGCTGCAGATATTCCTTCCGAGTAAGCTGTCGGCCTGTTTTTCTGAAGACAGAGACACCAAACACGATGCTATGTGTGTTGCAGAGAAAATGAAGTTTTGACTTCTTTGTTGGCTGAACCATTCGCTTCAGATCATTTCAGTAACTGAAGTGCTTAGCAAGAACACATGATTAAACACGGGCACTGGGAGAGAGGCTAATTCCTTATACTTTGAGCTTTCATTTGTTACATTTCCACTTGTGGAGCTACTACAAAAACATTATGAGGCTTTGATGTGAGTGATTTGCCACATAAAAATGGCACAGAGTTGGGTGTGGTGGCCCACACCTTTAATCCCAGCAGTTGAGAGGCAGAAGCAGGTGGATCTCTTGAGTTCTTGGCCAATCTGGTCTACAGAGCAAGTTCCAGACCAACTAAGGCTGTATAGTAAGACCCATTCCCCCAAAAAGGGCAGAGTTAGGAGGGTTATGTACACACAGCCTCCTTTTCTTTTCTTTTCTTTTTTCTTTTCTTTTCTTTTCTTTTCTTTTCTTTTCTTTTCACCTGAGGATGCTTCCAAATCATTACCTTTTTTTTTTTAACCTCCAGTAAATCCCTTCCTGTGACTGTGGGATGCCTTGCCTATCAGCTTTCCAGCTTCCTTGTCTCTCTTCCTTTACCAGTTTAGCTTTAAAAAACAAAAGTGACAATTTGAACTTCCTGCCTGCTGGGCCTCAGCGAAAGACTGATATTGGCCTGATAAGGGGATATTTATTTTGGTTTAGAAGCTTGAGAAATTGCTCTCCCTCAGAAAGCTTTCTGTCACTGACCCCCCCCCCCAGTGTCTTCCCTGATAGTGGTGTCCACTGTGTTTATTCTGGGGCTCTGGCTGCCCAGGGGTAACTGATAACAGCCCGCAGGAGATAACAGCCTCTAAAGGGCTTTCCAACTGGAATTGAATCCCTCCAGCCTGTCAGCCTGGAGAATGGATTTGAAAGGTTTAGTTCTGGGCTTCCAAAGTGTTCATCTTCAGACCTATCAGGTAGCAAGCTTGGAGTTCCTTCTCAGTTAAGCCCAACAGGGCTGTTTTATATGAGTACAAAGGATACTTTTTTTTTTACAGTGTCTTAAACATCATCCAGAACCTGCTACATCTTCAATAGTAGAGAATTACAAGAATGTTGCTCTGCACCCATGTGCCCCCTCCTCATTGCTCTCGGCTTACTCCTGGGTAGGAACCAGAGCTCAACCTGAGCATCCTATGTGTTGTCTTTGGCCAGGGAAGTGGAGCTGAGGCTTTTCCTGCAGGTTTCATCTTCCCTGGGTAATAGGGCCAGAGGGCCATAGTCTAGGAAGGTCCTCATTGTTACCAGGGAATATATGCTGTCTCTAGGAGTAAATGTTTTCCTCTTGGCTGCCTCTGTTTTCTTTGGTGCTGTAAGTAATTGAACTGGCTTGGGAAGTACCTGTTGTGGTTTGGCAGAGGTGGGCTGTCACACCTCGCAATTCCAGGACACATCCCAGATGGTAGCTTAGTTAGACTAGAACCACGGTGAAATTCTGTACTGTCCAACAACGGCCATACAGGGTACCATCCGTGTCCTTAATCTATTTGGCACAGGCAGTTTGAACAGGGCCTTATGGGATTCCTATTTAAATAATCAAGCTGAAAATTGATGACTGTTCATTACTTAAAACTAGTTTTAATCTTCCATCTAAGTTTGCAGAGTGTGCCGATTTCCTTTAGGTAAACTGCAAACATCAGAATGACTTATTAACCCGTGACAACCCCCCACCCCTGTATTTTTCCACCCCGTCTTAGTGAGCGCTCTACCGTTCCGGTTTGAACAGCACTTTTCGGTCCTAGTTTGCACTAATGGAAACGAGCTCATCCGAATGGTGCTGGGCCCGTGTGGAGGCTGCCAGTGGTCCCGTTTTCGTTGTTGATGTTGTTCCCACTTTTTCCCCCTCGGAGGAAGTGGGGCAGTGCTTCTGTGTGGGTGGCCCAGAGCCCTCTGGAGTGAGAGGCGGTAGGGGCCAGGTGTCTAGCCTCTGTACTGCCAGCTGCTGCTCAGGGTTTCTCAAGAAGAGAGGATGCTTTCTGATTTCACTTCGGCTCTCCACAGTCTGAGTAACTGCCCTTTCTTCTTCATTTTAGCGCAAACGGAAAGCAACCCAAAGCAATACAGTAGTGGGAAAAATGAACTGTACCCAAAGAATGTTCCCAAGAGAGAGTACAGCGTGAAAGAAATCCTAAAACTGGACTCCAATCCCTCCAAAAGGAAGGACTTCTACCGTTCCGACATTTCACCCCTCACTTCAGAAAAGGACATGGACAGCTTTAGGAAAAATGGGAGCCCCGACATGCCCTTCTACCCCCGGGTTGTTTACCCCATCAGGGCGCCTCTGCCAGAAGACTATTTGAAAGCGTCCCTGGCCTATGGGATTGAGAGACCCACTTACATTACTCACAGCCCCCTTCCGTCTTCCACAACTCCAAGCCCCCCGGCAAGCAGTAGCCCTGAGCAGAGCCTCAAGAGCTCCAGCCCCCACAGCAGCCCGGGGAACACCGTGTCACCCCTGGCGCCAGGCCCCCCAGAACCCCGGGACTCCTACCCCTACTTGAATGTCTCCTATGGCTCCGAGGGCCTGGGCTCCTACCCTGGCTACGCACCTGCCCCCCACCTCCCACCGGCTTTCATTCCCTCTTACAACGCTCACTACCCCAAGTTCCTATTGCCACCCTATGGTCTAAGTTCCAACGGCTTGAGCACCATGAGCAACATCAATGGCATCAACAACTTCAGCCTCTTCCCCAGGTTGTATCCTGTCTACAGTAACCTCCTTGGTGGGGGCAACCTGCCTCACCCCATGCTCAATCCAGCTTCTCTACCGAGTTCCCTGCCCTCAGATGGAGCCCGGAGGTTGCTTCCACCGGAGCACCCCATCCCAGCGCCCCACAGTGCCTTTTCCCTTACCGGGGCTGCCGCCAGCATGAAGGACGAGAGTAGCCCCCCCAGCGGGTCTCCAACGGCGGGAACCGCAGCCACATCGGAACACGTGGTACAACCCAAAGCTACCTCAGCAGTGATGGCAGCCCCCAGCACTGACGGAGCCATGAATCTCATAAAAAACAAAAGAAACATGACTGGTTACAAGACTCTTCCCTACCCGCTGAAGAAACAGAACGGCAAGATCAAGTATGAGTGTAATGTCTGTGCCAAGACATTTGGTCAGCTCTCCAACTTGAAGGTAGGCCTCCAGACATCTGCCAGGCTGAGTGAGGGCTGCTAATTGCACTTGAGCCATAGGAGACCCAGCTTGGGCCTGGGCTCTGTGGGTGCTGCCTGCTGAATAATGAAAATGTGGGGTTTATCTTGATGCCTTTCTTAAGCTCCTTGCATGGCACACACTTGGCTCTTTGAGCAGAAGCTTAAGTGGTAGGCCTCATCTCAACTCTAGAGCTAACCCCTGTGGCTTCTTCCCAGGTCCACTTGAGAGTGCACAGTGGAGAACGGCCTTTCAAATGCCAGACCTGCAACAAGGGTTTTACTCAGCTCGCCCACCTGCAGAAACACTACCTGGTACACACAGGAGAAAAGCCACATGAATGCCAGGTGGGCAGTGTTTTCTGGGTAGAACTTCTGTGAAAAATATCGGTAGCGTTGCCTTCCGGTGTTGTTTAGCCAACACCAGATGCCTGCCTTGCCACAAGCTGTTGACGCTGTGATGCTCCTGGAGGCTCTGGCTACTCGCAGGCTCCAGTGATGGGCGGATAACGCAGCTAGCAAGCAGTGGGTGGAGAAATGGCCACAGATAAACAGTGCCTTCCCCTTATTGCTTGCCACACTTCGAGTGCCCTTAAGAGGCTTCTGGTCTCCCAAGGTAGCTGGGTATTGACCTGTTGTCTTGCCCCTCCCATTGGCAATGTTTATTTAATCTTACGATTTTTCCCTCTATCCTTTCTCTGTATTCTTTCATCTCCGGGCTTTAGGTCTGCCACAAGCGATTCAGCAGCACAAGCAATCTCAAGACCCACCTTCGACTGCACTCTGGAGAAAAACCTTACCAGTGTAAGGTGTGCCCCGCCAAGTTTACTCAGTTCGTGCACCTGAAGCTGCACAAGCGACTACATACCCGGGAGCGGCCCCACAAGTGTGCCCAGTGCCACAAGAGCTACATCCATCTCTGCAGCCTCAAGGTCCACCTGAAGGGCAACTGTCCTGTGGCCCCAGCTGCCGGGCTGCCTCTGGAGGATCTGACCCGAATCAATGAAGAAATCGAAAAGTTTGACATTAGCGACAACGCTGACCGTCTTGAGGACATGGAGGAAAACATTGATGTTACCTCTATGGTGGAGAAGGAGATTCTCTCTGTGGTCAGAAAAGAGAAAGAAGAAACTGGCCTGAAAGTGTCTTTGCAAAGAAACATGGGGAACGGACTTCTCTCCTCAGGATGCAGCCTCTATGAGTCATCAGACCTGTCTCTCATGAAGTTGCCTCACAGCAACCCACTACCTCTGGTACCTGTAAAGGTCAAACAAGAAACAGTTGAACCAATGGATCCTTAAGATTTTCAGAAAACAAGTGTTTTGTTTTGCTTTGCTTCTTAGGTTATGACTTGGTGAGTCAGGGTGCCTGTATCGAATTGCTTATAAACAATTCCAAATCTGCAAAACACCTGGCAGCAGGTGGTTCCCCAAACCTCTCTGGAATTAAAGAAGGACTCCAAAGTAACCAAAATCTCAGGGCATAAATGAGGCAAAGACTCACTCTATATACATATATACATATTATATATATATATACACTTATTTACAGCCATGTCTATATATTTGAACCTGTGTATTTTGAATATTTGTGTGGATATGTTTGCATAGCCTTCCTATTACTAAAACTATTACCTAGCCATAATTATTTTTTCAATGATAATAGTTCATAATTTATTATACAGTTTATCTTTCAAAAAGCAATAATTAAAAAGTTTACAATGACTGGAAAGATTCTTTGTAATTTAAATATAAATGTGTTATTGTCTTTGTGGCCACTCTTTGTAGATAATTTCTGCACATCTGTTGAGATCTCTGAGACTTAGTAAACAGCTGTGTGATTTCAGTCAACCTTTCTCTATAATAATGCTTTAAAATGAGGTTTTGATGTTGCCAAAGTCATATGGTTGGCGTATTAACTCAGAGGATAGTATCAGTGAACAACATTGTATAAGTTGGGGGTATGTGTGCAGAATTACTTAGCAATAATTTGAGGGGAAGGAATCAGAAAAGGAATATTTTATGTTTCTAATGATAGTTTATTTTTCCCCTCCTAGCCACAATTTTACCAAAATGGTGACAGGCTTTGCCAGTCTGTCCCTCCAAAAACATAGGGACATCTCCAATGTCATAGGACCGTTCTGAGTGGCCATATGACTTTGGCATCCTAGTGTGTTATCTGAAAATGTGAAGAAGATAAAATGCCATATTCAAACCACCGAGAATCTGTCTTTTAGCACAGATGATTGTGTGTGTGTGAGGGTTAGGGGCTTGAGTCTGGGTGTCATTTTGTTGTTGACGTGTTTTTGTTTTTTAGTGTCAAATTTGCACAAAGGTGGTGCCCTACCAAGAAGGATTTGATGTAGATAGGCTTGGGCCACATTTAAAATACAAACAAAAAACTAACAGAAAACTAAACAAAACAAATCAAAGAAACGGGTATGCCTGTCATCTTAGGTTAAGCGGGTGATGAACATTCCTATCCCCAACACATCAATTGTAATTTCTGTAAAACCTAGCTTTTCTCAGTGTTTCTGTTTTTGCATTTTATAATTTAATTGAAGATGAAAGGGCATTGCAAAGTTGTTCAACAACAATTACCTCATTGAGTGTATCCAGTAGGAGCACAGGAAGTGATGTCTTATCTCATGACTTGCTGCTCAGCTGAGCACGTGCGCTCCAGAATGGTAGGCTGGGTGGTTCTGTCTTGTATTCGTCTAAGCCCAAAGGTTACCTGTTGGTGTTCAAGGTGTAGCAAAGAATGATGTATATTTATGAGTCTATTTATACCACTATACCATGTATATATATAATATATTTATAACCACTTAAATTGTGAGCCAAGCCATGTAAAAGAACCTACTTTTCCTAAGGAGCAAAAAGAACCTTTTTCTGAAGTTTTGCTTGAAACTCCATGACCTCACGATCACACTGGTGCTTGTGCACCACTTTGCCTATGACCAGAGACCATAGCACCTCGGTGCTGAGGTAAGGTAGTTGCCATGTAGCAACTAGGGAGGAATAGAAATGTCATTTTGCTTTCTAACATCATCTGTCCTATTAGATTGTTCTGCTCCATTTGTGTCAGTTGGGTCACAGAAATAAAAGTCATTTCATCTCCACTATACTTTTCTTCATCCCCCTCCTTTGGAACCCTGACACCTCCTCACTCTTCAGTGTGATACTAAGTTTAGCATTTTGTATATATCTATCAACTTACAAAGAGAAAAACTTCAGCTCATCCAGGGAAGCCCCAGAGCCTTACTTATCTGCTGCTGTGAACAGCAAGATGGGCTTCTCTTCACCTACAAGGATCAGCACCAGAGATTCCACACATGCTAGAGAAGCAAGCTATCACTGAGCTGCAGCCCGACTCGAGACTGACATTTCTGGATGCATCTGTGTTTGAGGAAAATGGTCCTTAGGTGTAGGTAAACCAAAGCATGACGTGACATTGACACCAAATCCGATTTCTTTCTAGTGAACTCCCATTGGTTTCCTCCTGCGTTTTTCTGTCTTGGGAGGAGTTTTACCAGTGCTAATTGCTTTTCTTGCCATCTGTCTTCCTCCTAGGCCTCTTACATGTGAGTGTTGAGCCCACAATGAACAGTGGTTTTATTTTTTTTTCCCCCTCAGAGTTAAAACTGACCAAAGTTATTGGCTTTTTACTTTGCTAGAACAACAAACTATCTTATGTTTACGTACTGGTTTACATTGTTATTTATGTGCAAATTGTTAAAATGTAAATTAAATATAAATGTTCATGCTTTATCAATGCTTGTCTAGTGTCTTGAATCCTTTTGTCCCGACTTCCAGGGTGTCACTGGATCACATTTTGAATGAAGATTTTTCAATTTGTCTCCCCCTGCTCCATCAGCTCCCTCTTTTCCCGGCAGTACCAGCTATAAAGCCCGATTTCCCACTCTCCATCAGCTCCCTCTTTTCCTGGCAGTACCAGCTATAATGCCGGATTTCCCACTCTCCTGACATGTATATAGTACCTCATAAGGCTCCCATTCAAGTACTAAGCATGCCCGACCCTGCTTAGCTTCCCAGACCGTGTTCAGGATGGGAATGTCATAACTCTCAATGGTGTACAGTTTTGCTTTCATTATGAGTTATGGATATTTATTGATAATCTTGAGGTCACAGTGAGGAGCCAAGGAACACTAGGACCTATTTCAGAAATGGCGTGTTTGTACTCAGCTCTTGGGTGGGTGAGGGGTCCTGGGAAGCTGAGTTCAGGAACATTTCCCACTGGTGACATTAGCATTCTTTCTGCAGTTTGAAGCTAACACAAAGCATGTCACAAGGAAAGCCCTAAACTCTACCCCTCATCAACTTGGAAAGCACATTTGCAACTCGGGTATTTAATGTGAATTTTCAAAAGGATGATTTAATCCAAATCTAGGGTTCATGATGGCATGGCTCTGGGCCTCATGGATCATACGGTGGGAATAAGTTTCCTTTCTTGTTCATGGATGTTCCAGAACCAAACCTCTTCCCAGAGAGAAGGCACAAGTACATTTGATTCCCTTTTGGTGATAAAAATAGGAAACAAGTCTAAAGAGTGCCAGTGCTCTCTGGGGAACGACCTAAAGCCCTTTACAAAGTTTTTCATGGCTCCCATTTCACCATTACAAGTTCATGAGTCCATGCTAACTGCATGTTGAGAAAGTGAGTCTTCATACATTTAGATGCTCAAGACTCCCTTAAGTTTTCTTTTGCTTTTGGTGTATCTTTAAATTCTCTTAAATATCTGTGCCAAGAATTTGAAATGCTGCCAACATACAACTGTGTAGTGAAGAAAAACAGAGCCTTGTAGTCATAATGTGCCAAGTGGTGCTGGTTAGATGCCTAAATTCTGCAGAACCATAGTGGGAATAATTCTTTTTAAAACCCCTACAAGATCTAGGGTGTAACAATTCCTAACATAAATCATAATTCTTTAGTTGGTAGATCATGTCTTGTTTTCTTGAGTATTGCCTATCTCAGGAACACTGTGGGTGGACTTGGATGGAACATTAATACCCACAGGAGTCCAAGACCATCTGCCAGAGTCCATATTGTAAGATTTAGAAGATTTAGGCATCACTGCCCTCTGTGGGGCAAAGCAAGTTGGCAGAAGTCACCACTTTTTGAAAATTTCCTTAATTACATAAAAGCTATGTAGACATAGTTTCTACCATATGACAATATATAGACTGTATAAGTTCCACCATAGGAGTTTATGATCACATTTCTTGACGGTTTTTCTTTGGGGGGAAATGAAATCAATTCATGTCCCATAAAGTGGTATAAGTGAAGTTTCTCTCTCTCTCTTCTCTCTCTCTCTCTCTCTCTCTCTCTCTCTCTCTCTCTCTCTCTCTCTCTCTGTCTCTGTAGGAGGGGGGGTTGGGGGAGGGGATGTTCTCTACAAGATAGAGGTGCCAAGTGTGGTAGCACACACTTTTAATGCCAGTATTTTGGAAGGGGGGGCAGACATATCTCTGAGTTCAAGCCCAGCCTGGTCTACATAGGGAGTTCCAGGCCAATCAGGGCTATCTAGTGAGACCCTGTCTAAACACACACACGGACACACACATAGATAATGAGAAAGGGCTGGGACAGAGGGAGATATGACAATAATTAGAGGGACGTGGAAGAGGATTTCTAACTAAAAGCAGCTCTCCAGGGAGATCTCTGTAGAAGGGAGGCCTGGAGCAGAGAGGGGCAGCTGAAAGAAGGAAAGTCACAGCACGCTCACTGAACCAGCCCACAGGGCGCTTCTTTTCGGTGGAGCACCAGGGAGCACTTTCCCCACAACATGTCCTTTCCTTACCTTAAGCCAGACCATTTCAGGCGCTGGCCACTTCTTGATATCCACTTCCCGCTATTGGATGATTGTAAAGTTTCTGAACCTATGGCAAACCTCCCATCACACCCCTTTCCAGACCTCAGAGCCCCCACGTCCGGGTGTTCAAAGTCCCACTAAGAGCATCTTCAAGGAGTGAGAAATGATTTTAATCTCAATACAGCCCTAATCAGTGTGATTCAGAGAACTGCAGCAAGATTCCAGAAGGTTATTTTTAACCAGATGTATGCAAATATTCTCTGCACGGCCCAGCTTCTCAGAATACTGTAAACTAACGAGTCCTCTCCTTGTTTGCTCTTCCAGGCTGGCCAAGTGCTGAGTCAGAGGCGGCCATGTGCACATTTCCCTCGCTGTGTGTTTAAGATAGAAGGTGTTATTCAGCACAAGTGTGGCATAGTCATCTCTTCGTTTTCCTCTACCCTATCGAGAAAGAAAGAGGAAGTGGCAGATAAGCACCATGGGCAATTTTGGTAAAAAATTCTCCAACGTGCTCACAAAATGTGTTTTCGTGAAATGGTAGGAAAATGCCCCATCTTTAGGCTTTGGAAGGACTCACCTGTGGATGATGGCAACCAGCTGTTCTCCGCTGTGAGCGAGGCCAGTGACAGGAAAGGAAGTTAGCCCACAGCAGAAGAGTTTAAACCAGCGGCTCTCAAGCTGGGGGTCGCACAGCAGATATTTACGTTATGATTCATAACAGTAGCAAAATTACAGTTATGAAGTAGCAATGAAATAATTTCATGGTTGGGGGTCACCACCACATGAGGAACTGTATTAAAGGGTCACAGCATCAGGAAGGTTGAGAATTATTGGTTTAAACTGAGGAGACTAACTACCCGATTAACCTAACTAAGTAACCATTCTGAGGTTGGCAACACACTGGACTTCTCCCAGGGCAGGGACAGAGCCTCCTTGCTTGCAGGACTTAAGGAAGAGCCACCTGGCTTGAAAACACAAGCTCAGCCTAAGATGCCATGGCAAGCCCTTCTAAGCCCACAGTCCAAGCATTTGTCAATTCTGTGTGCAGCTGTAGACCTAAATCAAGGCACATACAAGGCTTTGGTGGAGAACTTTAGTTTCCTTGACATGCCTGAGGTCTCTTTGTCTCTGTGTAACAGTCCTGGCTGTTCTGGAACTCACTTCATAGACCAGGTTGGCTTTGAACTCACAGAGATCTGCCTGCCCCTACTTCCCAAGTGCTGGGATTTAAGGCTTGTGCTACTACTGCCCAGCTGCGATGTATATAATTAAACAAACTAGGAAAGGCTGCCTAAACTGGAAGCAAGAGTCCATGATACTATGCAGGGAAAAAAATGTTCCTCGTGGCAATTCCCCGGTATTGAAAGGGGCAATAAAATGATGTGTTTACCTGGCGCCGTTAGAGAAACCCCCAACCAAGAAGATTCAGGAGCAGTTATTACTTGGGAAGAAGGGGTCCTCTGGCCTCCCCTCTCCCATTAGTATTAGCACAATGGAACTGACTATAAATCCCCACCCCTACAGGCAAAGGAAGTATGGGGCGTCATCATCTTCTTTTTAAACCTTTCTTACCCAGTTTTAATACAAGTAAATGTATTAAATAGATGCCCTAGGACACCCACTAGCCAAAGATCAAATAAAGGAGTCACCTAATGCTTTCTTCCACATGTCTTAGGCCCATAGTCTAGGAATATCCTCAAAGTACAAACTGAGTTCGAATCCTTCCTCTCCTGGGACACACTGTGTATCCAGAATAAGGAGTATAGCTCTACCCTTAGGTCTGCCTGTCATCAGAAGCACCCTCCCAAGAAAATCCTAGAACCTTCCTGGGCCTCTGTCTCCTGATCCTTAGAACGGGGAGACATTCCTGGCTGTTTCCAGCTCTCTCTGAAGTACTCCACCTTTGTTATGCTAATTATTTTGTTGTCCTTTGAAGTGTGGCTGCTGGGGTAGGCCCAGAGTAGATGACAGAGACCCAGATACTAGGGACGAACTGGTGTGGAGCCAACTACTGTGGCTTCTTCTGCCAAAGAGAGTGAGCTTGCAGGTCCTGCTAACTGGTGAGAACTGTGCGCTTTCCTCTGCTCATCTGAAGGAAACCTACATTCTCTTAATGGAAATAATGGGTTATGCTTAGGTCAGACCCATGCTAGACTCCATACCAGAGTTCTAGAGTGTCTAATTTAATCTGTTTTTGCTTCTCCTTCTTTGTACTTTTTCCCTTCTTTTAATTTCTTTAAAGCAAAGTCATGTTTACCGGACAACTGAGAAAGATTTAAATGTGTCGAGCCACAGAAGGGGCGAGGAAGCAGGAACACTGACCACTGAGGAAGACCGTGAGAACACAGCAGGCAGACCCCGGGAAGACGTTGAAAGGAAACACTTCAGTTAGCGAGGCCGTCCAGGCCTTGACCCCACTTTAACGGCTCAAAGTTTAAAAAGGGGAATAAAGAAAATTTGAGCTGAGAGAGGGAGGAGTAGGAAAAGGTTAAGCCAAGACAGAAACTGTGAGTAGACAGATGTGAAAGGGGCTGAAAATAAGTGAAAAGTGAAAAATTGCTTTATGAATAAACCGTTGAAAAATAGTGAGTGAAAAAGCAATCGCGCTTCCAGTTATTACTGAATCACAAGCTGTGGCAGGGAGCCTGGCCTGAGCAGCCCCAGCCTCTACCTCCACGGCTGCACTTGGCTCGACGTGCCTGTGGGCGGCCACCGTTTTCTACTTGACTGTTCAGTTTCATTGTGATTGCCTTCAGCACAGACGGCATGGGCCACTTTACCACCCTGATCACCAAAAACATGACTGGTCACCTCTCCAACCTGCTGACATGACAGGCAGGTGATAGCCAAGGGGTGAGGGCAGCGTGGGAAGAAGAAGCAGAGGGGTTCGTGAGAGCCGGCCATGACCTGCTGCTGCATTTTGCTGTCCAGTGCTT